ACCAGAATCTTTGTTCCGGACAGTGGTTGGATTTCGACGAACCACCGAGGTAATTTTCAAAGCCGAACCCTCACGAAAAAAAGATTCTGGTCACGGCTTGGTGGTCATCGGCTGGTGTGATCCACTATAACTTTTTATCACCAGGCCAAACCATCACAGCAGAACCCTACTGTGAAGAAATCGACGAATTGTACCGAAAATTTTGTCAGATGCAGCCAACACTTATCAAAAGAAAGGGTCCGATTCCTTTGCATGACAACGCCCGCCCACACGTTTCACAAATCACTATCCATAAATTGAACGAATTGGGGGTTGAAGTTCTACCTCAACCGCCATATTCTTCAGACCTTTCGCCAACCGACTATCACCTTTTCTAACATTTTCAGAACTCCCTTGCTGGAAAATACTTCATCAATCAGGACCAGGCAAAAAAGCCTTCGTGGATTTCGTGAATTTTCGACCACCCAGTTTTTTACTTTGATGGGATTTCTCGACTGCTGTCACATTGGCAAAAGTGTGCTGATTCGAATGGTGCCTATTTCGATTAAATCCGATGAGTATTAAAAAAGTTACGATCGTTTAAAGTGAAACACCCAAAACGCTGAGAACTTTCCGGACAACCTAATACAATTACTACTGTGCTTTTTAACACCTTAAATGGCAATAATGACTGCTGATTTTGACATTTGGTTGCTGAACCTATTGTTGTGGCAGATCATGTTATAAGGGCTCATGACGGGATATCAACACTAAAGCTTAGAACAGAGTAAGTCGGACAGACAAAACATTTGGCAAGACAATGTAAAGAGTATGTGGAAAAGAGAAGCAACTTTGGACCACCAGTTGACACTCTGCTCTAGAGCCCCTTGCAGCTATAAAACGCCTAAGGGCTGGGAAGTTTGAAAGGCTGCACACCGTTACGAATCAACAAAAACAATATGATGCTTTACCTCAGTAATCTCCAAGGTTTCATCTATCGGCACTTGAATTGGTCCGGGCATCCATGGAAACAACGGTACCATTTGATCCATGCTAAATGAATAGAACTTCTCAGCATAATGGACAAAGTATTCAAAAGCGACTCCAGTACCCTTGACAATTTCAGTTCCTTAAAAATTCTGAGGCTTTCTATTATCAAATTTTATTGTTCAAAGCAGTGGCTGCGTTGGCAAAGAGACTATGGGGGACGTGGTCACATAATTTAGTCCCAAAGCCAGAATGAGAGGCTAATCAGAAGAAGAAGATCAAGCGATTGACGACAAGAATGTCAAGAACTTCCTGTGGCGGGGGAGTATAGAGAAGACTCTATAACCATTTCCAGCACGTGATACTGTGAAAATGAACTGTCTTGTTTACTTTGCTTGTTTATTATCATCGCGGCAGTATAAAAGACTGCCGCGGTAAGGTTGACTTCACCTTTTGTTGTTGGTCTACCGCAAGCAGTAGCAATAAACGTTCCGAAGACCCGCGTGGTAGCTATATAGGGATAAACTACCTACGACCGGCGTCTGCCGCTCCAGGTCACTCAGTTGATACTTTCTCGCAATCACTACATGTGACGTCCATCACTTACACTGTGAATCTCCAACTTCCTCTCTCTCATAGAACCTCGACACATTCACTACCTTAACATACTCGACTGCCGCGGCTTCTTGCCGCTCCTGGCCGCGGCTGGGACCCTGGCCTCGAGGCACGACGATCTGTCGAGACGTTGGGCCGGTTAATAACAGTTCGTTTATACACCCCAACACCGTCGAAGCACAAAAAGAATTAAACACAAATCATACACTGCAGTTGCAATTGCGTAGAGTTGTACAATACCCCTTTGACTGTTGGTCTACCGCCAAGCCAGTAGCAATAAACGTTCCGAAGAGCGTGGAGATTAGGATACAGGTACACTTACACCGGCCTGCAGTACTCAGTGATACTAGTATCACTGAGTACTGCAGTGCTCCGAAGAGCCGATCTGGCCAACGATGTTCTTTTGGTAAACACACCAAGAGAAAATATCAAACGTCAACTGGTCAAGAAATCGCCTTTACGACCGAATATGCACCACGGAGAACTGCGTGATCTGTCCGTATGGGAAACTCGGTGACTGTACACAACGGGCTGTCGTTTACCAATCGACGTTCGTTCAGTAGCGCCATCATATATTGGGTGAAACTGGGAGCAGGGCATTAGGCCGTACGCGGTGAAAGAAGCATCTCAAGAAGCAAGCGAAAGCGGAAAGTTTGATTGCACCGCTCGGCAGGCATAGAAGAGAGCTCCATGATGGCTGTGATTTTAGCGTCAAGTGCATAATATTGGCCTACGAAAACGATGTTGGTGCCCGGAAAACCCTTGAGGCGTTCTGGATTAAGCACCGTAATCCATGTATGAATAACAGGAATGAGTGCATCTCAATAACGGCCGATTTCTTGCCCTATATTCCACTGTGTGAGCTCTAACAGTGAGAACATGATGCACTGCACGTGCATACTATCATCCTGTAGCAGTGCTGGGTCGGTCCCACTTGCTCCATTGTGTCGAAATCGAGCAGATCGTTTGTGCTGGTGGGAGTGGAGAAGTAACTTGAAGTTTTGGGTTTCCTTTCGTTGGTAGCTTCTTGGTCTGGGTTGCAACTAGTCAAGAACCAGGTTCAGGGGGGGGGGGGGGGGGGGGGGGGGGGGGGGGGGGGGGGGGGGGGGGGGGGGGGGGGGGGGGGGGGGGGGGGGGGGGGGGGGGGGGGGGGGGGGGGGGGGGGGGGGGGGGGGGGGGGGGGGGGGGGGGGGGGGGGGGGGGGGGGGGGGGGGGGGGGGGGGGGGGGGGGGGGGGGGGGGGGGGGGGGGGGGGGGGGGGGGGGGGGGGGGGGGGGGGGGGGGGGGGGGGGGGGGGGGGGGGGGGGGGGGGGGGGGGGGGGGGGGGGGGGGGGGGGGGGGGGGGGGGGGGGGGGGGGGGGGGGGGGGGGGGGGGGGGGGGGGGGGGGGGGGGGGGGGGGGGGGGGGGGGGGGGGGGGGGGGGGGGGGGGGGGGGGGGGGGGGGGGGGGGGGGGGGGGGGGGGGGGGGGGGGGGGGGGGGGGGGGGGGGGGGGGGGGGGGGGGGGGGGGGGGGGGGGGGGGGGGGGGGGGGGGGGGGGGGGGGGGGGGGGGGGGGGGGGGGGGGGGGGGGGGGGGGGGGGGGGGGGGGGGGGGGGGGGGGGGGGGGGGGGGGGGGGGGGGGGGGGGGGGGGGGGGGGGGGGGGGGGGGGGGGGGGGGGGGGGGGGGGGGGGGGGGGGGGGGGGGGGGGGGGGGGGGGGGGGGGGGGGGGGGGGGGGGGGGGGGGGGGGGGGGGGGGGGGGGGGGGGGGGGGGGGGGGGGGGGGGGGGGGGGGGGGGGGGGGGGGGGGGGGGGGGGGGGGGGGGGGGGGGGGGGGGGGGGGGGGGGGGGGGGGGGGGGGGGGGGGGGGGGGGGGGGGGGGGGGGGGGGGGGGGGGGGGGGGGGGGGGGGGGGGGGGGGGGGGGGGGGGGGGGGGGGGGGGGGGGGGGGGGGGGGGGGGGGGGGGGGGGGGGGGGGGGGGGGGGGGGGGGGGGCAGGTGGGGGGGGCGTGCCTGTCGGGGGGGGGGCGCCAGGGGGCGGGGGCCGGGCGGCGGGGCGGGTGGGGGGGCGGGGGGGGGGGAGGGCGGGGGGCGCGCGCCGGGGGGGGGGTGGGGGCGGAGGGCGGGGGATCGATAAGCTTCTGAGTTTCGATAATGCTTATCAGGCCTTTGTTTAATGACGATACTGTTCGAAAACGTCACGGCAAAGATAAACACTTCCACCATAAACCTGTGCAGGATAAGATAAAGAAACCATTGGGAGGTAGCACTTGAGTCTTAAAACATGCCCAGGTCTGCAAGAAACAGCGAACATTGGAGAGTAACGAAGTGTTTGAAAGAAAACCACCGCATAAGCTCTCAGAAACAATAAGATGCCGTTCACGTTTCGGCTCAGTGCTTTCCGACAAATCATGTTGGAAATGCTACCTCGCATTCTGGCTAAAATATGCTCCTGCTTTTAGGCAGATCAGGGGTGTCATACTACAGTACAACGTCTTGCTCCACTTCATTCAATTAGATGAGGGTTGTCGCTTAGGAGCACGATCCTGTCTTGCGGCACAGTCTTTTTCGAATTGAAGAACGGGTTTGCACAAGGAAAAGAAGTTCGTTTCTTGAGTGAGAGATTCCGAAGTAGAAAAACGGTAGTTACATAACTTACACCATATAGTCATCGTCATCCTCATCACGCGGCTTCAAGAATCCAAATCCGAAATTTCGATTTCCGGATACCCACCACGAAACCACGTCACCTTGTTGAAGATTCAAACTGATTATGTGATGTTTACCAGCAGGCACATCGATCTCTTGAATGTTTTCCGGCAACTAAAATTGAGAAAAATTAGAAAAGTTTCATGGATGAGTGGATCGAAAAATCTGGCAAACCTTCAGGCCTTTAGAAGAGTAGTACCAGTCTTTTGAATACGACTGAGGTGGGTCGACATGAGCTGGAAATGTATGAGTGTCGTCATTCCAGATGGAAGGGAGTGATTCAATTTTTGAGAATTGTAGAATCTCGTCTTTCCAATGTGATGACGAAAGAAGTCGCACCTAAACTGACCCCCTATCATTGATTTGATAAGTGCAGTACACTTCGTTGACCTGCCTTGACTTACCTTGTTTTTTGTCCTCTCTGGTAATAATGGGCGAACTACGGTATATAGAGCAACAGCAAATGATGGTAGGTTAATTGGCACAAAGAAACTGAAAGTGCAGGATGCTTAGCAATGGTACACTGGGGATTGTGGAATGAACTCGAGCAGGATTACCTTAATCATTTCCACATAGTGTTCAGCCATGAATTCAGCTAAACATCTCATTGAACCTGTTACCAAATCGTAGAGCTTTTTGTTATATTCGAGACCTGTGACGTCCATTACGTAGAGTATCCACGCTTGCCTTCCTAGAGGACATTTATTTATCATTTCCGAACATTATGGCTGTTTTTCAGTGGCAGTAGGGCATGAGACTGTCCACGTAGACTCTCATTTCTTGTGAAAAGTCCCATCTCTTCAGAATGCACCAATGAGAAGTGTGGGCGGAGCAGCTCAAATCCGCTCAGTTTACTTCATCCCAACTACTAACTTATTTTAAAATCTGTCCCAACGCTAAAGCACAAGATAAAAGGAACTTTGGTCAACACTACACCAGACAATGGGCAGATTACTGACACATCTTGACCGTGCATCTCACACATTCCACGCTTTTGTGCATTTCAGCGCCAAAGTCCGTGATTCGAGCAAGTGGCACGATAAATCTCCAAGACGTGTAGGACTAATACGCCCAGCAGGACAGAATTCGGCGCCCCTGAGCAGGCGCTGCGTGGCGCCTTTTCCAAGGAAGGTACCCTTATAGCACGCTACCAAGCTGCGACTCACCAACCCAGACGCCCACCCACAAATGTCCGACCGATGCTGATGCTCGTATCGCTTCATTTGCGAAGTACAATATGAAGCGAAGGGATTGATATGAAGCGGCTGCGGTGCTGCATGGATATAGGAGTATGTACAAACCTGCGGCCTTATCCACCGTAGCTAGGTGCCAGCGCACGCAATACTCGTCCAGAATTGCTTTCTGTATCGTGTAATACAGGGACTTTTTTTTGCAGGTTTTCGACCGTTTCACTCCTATTTTTTTCGACATTTTCCCACTATAAAGCGCCCCTGCTAGCAACTGAGACCGAGTACTAACCTATCGTGCCTATGCCTCTACGAAATAACCAAAATTTCGCATATATCTTATCGGATGCACTCTTAGAAAGGCTCCAATTTCAGCTGCAGGACTGGCATATTATTATACGCCAGTCCTATAGCGGAAATGGGAGCCTTATAAGGAAAGTGCAAACACGTCATCTGAATGACGATTTTGATACCCAGACGTTTATAGCAGGAGTATTTTCAAGGTTTTGCCCTTAGCAGTTGTGTGGGGCTCGGAATCTTTTATTGGAATGCCTTATTATTGAAAGTGAATATTTATAGAACTGTTGAGTCATTGAAAGGAGGATGTCCTGGGCTATCTACGCTTGAAATAGTAAACATTCATTTCTCAAGTCACTAATACGCAAATTGTCATCATCGCCCTTCTGAGGAAGCTTCTTTCGGCAAAGCGTTACGTTTCGGTCCCCTCCGGCCTACTTTGGCCTACTTTCTAGCCAACTTTAGCTTTGGCGCTGTGACTGCTTGTATTCTCTACTCGTTCTATAACAGGTCTGTTCATCTCCGTTATGAACAGGTTTGAACCCTCCCCCCCCCATTCTATCTTATTGCGCTTTTACTGCAAAACCATACAGTTCCATTTGTGTTTTTCCTTCCTTCAGAGATAGAGATAAAAGTCTAGAAATCGAGGGAGATAGATGAGAAAACCATAAGCAGGTGAGACTCGTTACAACAGATACCTGTACGTTTCTCAAGATCCATGACCTGTTTAAGCATATCTTCCAGATCCCACAGTCGGGCTTTCATTACTTCCGAAACCGAAAAACAATCCAGCATACCGGTATAGTCAGTTGTTCCACACTGTAATGGGGTTTAATTGAAGTATCGTCATTTCCATTGCGTCAATGCCGAAACGAGAGGCACGTGCATGGAAAACAGGATTCGCCGTGACCTCCCACTTAAAACCACTTCGTTCCATCATTGTACCTGTTCAATGTTGATGATGACATTTTCTAAAACTTCAGATTCTCCAGTAATACCATAGCGCCAGTGGTTATGAATTGTATGAGTTCTGCTCTTCTTGTGCATATTGTCGAAATCCCAAGCGGACTTCCTGAAAAGCCATAGGAGAATGTATGAAATCTGCACACATTTTCAAGGGCTGCCTACTTCATAACTCCACCTTCTGCTACGAAGAAATTCTTCGTAACTTATGAAAATCAGTGAAAACAGTCCAACATGCTATATAGCGAGGGAAATAGTGCTGGAGGAGCTGAAAACCGTCCGGAACTCGAAATGGTGAACGATGGAACGGGCACCATCGCTCGGATCGTGGTGGGGACAAGACATCTCTTTCCGAAGAACCCATTCCGAACCTGAACCTCTCACCGACGTATTGCGCTAGGAAGGCAAAAACCCGTGCCTCAGCTTTTGCTCAATGTGGCAACGTCTTTCATGATCGCTATGCGGCAGGACTCTGCTATAGGGTGTAGAGAAGTGTACAGATGGACCGGCGGGGTACCACAAGTGCGATAAAGCCGTAATAAAGAAGCAGGAGGTGGCGTTGGAAGCTCCCGCAGAACGTGTGTTTGGCTTTAGATCGGGCACAAATAGGCGCAGCTCGGCGACGGGGGGGGGGGACTTTGCACTTTGCTGCTTCACTAGTTCCGGTTTACAAGTCTCACTCTGGTGAAACCTGTGAACTCTTGTGAAGCTGGAGCAAGCTAGTTGAACCACCATGGTGAAACTTTGTCAATTCTTGTGAGTTCATGAAGTAGATCTCTGGATGGCTCGGCACGTCGAGCTGTAGGATGTAACAAACGTGCAAATCCCCCCTCCCCACGTCGCCGAACTGCCCCCCACAAAATATTCAGTATTCAAATTCACAACATTAACTGAATTCTCCACAGTTTTACTGGTTTCTCATCCTATTTTTTGTGGTAAGCGGTTACTTCGGCGTAGAGGTGTTGTTAGGGGAGGCTGCGCCGCTTCCACAACTGGCTGTTCGAGCCCGGATCGACTCCCGAAGACGGCAGTGAAGAGCGCCATGTCTTCAGGACAGTGTGATTGGTGGCAGATTTAGAAGCATTCAACACCAATTGTTTTGTCGGCTGGACACCACGGGCCAAATCGTGCTCATAGCGATTCTGAATAGATGCGAGATGTGTGGCGCAACCCAAGAAAAGCACAACCACTGGAGACTGCTTCACACTTTATTTTGTCGTTGAATCGATTCCTTTGTACTACGAAGTAACGAGATGGATAAACATTGCGCTCACCTTGCCTTCAAGTGATGTCGTAACTTTTTAGCGATTTCTACTAGATCAAGTTGAGCATGACCTTGAAGCCATCTGAGAAGGTTAAAATCTGTGTCGTAGTACTCGGTAAGGTCGTCTTTCACCAGCTTTCTGAGCGCAGCAATTTTCTGTCGTTCATCTTGCGAGATTCCGTTCGAGATCGTCATTAAAGGAGTCTGAAACCATTTAGAAGGTTCACGAAGGGAAAATGGATTTTCTAACGGATGAGATGTAAGCATCGTGCTGCGGCATGGCGATAGCGATTTGATGCAGAAGAAATCATTGAATGAGGCTGATGAACGGACCGAAAATGGCACAAAGAGGCAAATATATAAATGTAATGGCAAATGTGCACTAACAGGTGGAAGGCGTTAAATATCCTAACTTAGAAACAAGCGAAGTACAAAGAACATCAGAATTTAAGATCGTTCTGAATTTGATGAATACTGACAGATATATTCTTTTTCACAAGGGCAAAGAAGTTCAGAAGTTCTGAAGGGTACACAAGAAGGCCTTGCCGTCACACAGCCAGCAAACACCTTGACACGAGTGTGCCTCTCGATTAGTTTTTCGTAGATGCGTGTGCATATAGACGGAGAACCGGTAATGGCTAACTCGTCTCAGCTTCACAAAGGGTTGTGTATGACCTGTACGGAAGATTGTGCACTTTTCCAAACCTCTCTTCAGCACATAATCAATATTCGTTCGTGCGGGAACGGATATTATTTGCAAATAAAAATGTCTCCAATGATGACCACTGGAAAGGTGACAGATGCGTTCAGGGTCGTTCAACGAAGCGAACAAACGAGACGAGTTGATTGATAAGACTGTCTCAATGGGCGGCAGAAGAGTGCATGGCCGATCGTATGAGGTTGGAGGATTAGAGTATGGGAATGTGGGTAACGATAACCGTTCCTGTGGAGCAACCACTACATATTGCAACTGCACCAGTATGAGTCGCACTTGTCATTTCGCCAAGATGAGTGATTGAAATTTAAGTGCGATTATCGAATATTTTACAGGTAAAACAGAATCAGGACAGGCTTGATAGCGGCGATGGCAGCTGTAGACAACCCCATTCGATGCCGTGCTCATTCATCCGCTTCTTCCGTTTTTTGAGATTAGACGAACGTATTTCTATTGAAAATCAGAGAGCAATGAATACGTCCTTGAGACTAACACATTTCCAATTGGATGCATCACATCACCAAATATTCGCATTTGTGTTTGTAGAAGTAACCAGTAATGACATGTTCAGCTCGTCAGGTGATCGTAAAAGGTTTCTAAGAACTGTTACTTTTGATGGACCTGAACAAGTTTTCGTTGCCCCACATAAGACATCACAATGCGGCACAATGCCCTTACTCGTACACTGTACACGTCCGATAATTGTTGAAGTCCAATGACCATCGCTAGCATAAAGTGGAAGTTGAAGTTTCGCGGATCGCTTTTTCACGACAAGAGGCATTGTAAGGTGATAGAAACGGCAAATAATCTGAGCGTAATGCCAACGGTACAGTTTCTTCGTTGATGGGGTGTCAGTGAGGGTGGGTTTGGCACGCTACCAGCCCGTTCTGTACCAATTGTTGCATCGGGTAAACTACGGCAAACGATGATGCGAACGGATATGAAACAGTTTCGTAGCTAGTCGAAAGAAAAAAAAGAAAAGATGAGGGGACGACACCGCGCCAAACCCATCCCCTCGACACGCCCCATCATTCGCAGCAAACAACTGTATACCTCGCAACTGACACGACAGTTTCGTTCGCTGTGGCGTTTTAAAGTGCTGGGTTTGGGCGCGGCTCCAGACTGTTCTTCACCGATGGTTGAAGCTGACGGGCGACCGCAATATTTAGTCCTTTCAAGGGAGGGGGAAGTAGGGGGAGGGGTGCTAGGCTGGCGCAGCGCCATGACCAACAGCCTCTCCCCGCTCCTTGAAACGCTCCAGCGTCGGCAACGAATTAACAGAGTACATATACACGTCATACCGCAGGGATGGCGACGGCGAGGGCGTTCGCAGCAATTGCTCTCAATGTAGGATATTTCCGATGTGGAACAGTAGTGATCATGTCTTTGCTAAGCACAAGGGAGGAGGACAATTGCCCCTCACGGAACCCATCCTTAGCCATGCTCAGATGAATCACGCAGCCACGCCCTCCCCATCTCCGGGATATGGACGGACGGATATGGCTAGAGTTTTGGAGTTTCATCAGCCGACATTTTGAATAGCTTGAAACTGAGTCGTTAGGGTCGCCAGGTTCAACATGCCCAATCATCCGTTTTCTTTTTAATAAAGAATGATCAGTACAAGTAAGGACTAGGAGTTTGCAGTGAAACAAGCACCTGCTGAAGCAATACTAAAAGCAAATTAAGCAATGAGATATGTAGCGGTGTTCATTTGTTCATCCACAGAGAAGCGAGCAATTCCAGCGGCCTGGTCCGTCTAACTTACCTCATCAAAGTCTGCCTGTGCAGGGCATTCGGACCCGTTATGTTCCTCTAGTGAACAGCGATCCATGGGGCCCTGGCTACCTGAAGAACGTATTCTATCTGAATGAAACTTCCCACATTGAAACGTTCCAAATTTAAAGTTGTTTTCAGTACCGATCAAAGTAAAACGAGCTAGTGAGATCACATCAGCTCAATTGACGTAAGGCACCGTGATGAAAACAATTCGGTCACTAATGGCGAGATTTAGAGACCAGAGAAAATGAGGACTGACTTTGTAAAAACAAATTTCAGTGACATTCAAAAACACGTTCTTCCTTCCAGCCATTTATAGCATCATACAGTTCCTCCACTCGAGGCAGAGATATCATCTACTTGTTCCTTCTGCCTCCCGGCTTGGAGTGAGCAACAAGTAAACCTTATTACATTATGTGATGTTTCGCTGGCGAACACTGACAGAAACAATGATAAAATCTTGGTCAACAACTACAGGAAACTTTAGTACAATATCATATCGATCAAAAGTTCGAACGATTCCTGAGCCCACCAGATCGCGATCGCCGTGGATCGACCGGAAATGGGAATCTGAGAGACCCGCCGATCATTTCCACGTTTGCACCAAGACAGCAGGAAGCTCCAAGGCGTGCATCTGGACAATCTCGAGCTGGTTAGCCAACGTCGAGCTTCCCGCTGACGTCTGAGCGAGCTTTGCAGTATAGCGCTAAAGGAACGCTCGGAGGATAGAAGAGCGACAGTGCTGGTGGAACAGCAAAGGATGGGAAGAGCATCCTCAACGCCAGCCATCGCGACTTCGCCATTCGTAGGACCAAGATGAGCGCCGAGGCATTGATGAAACAATAACTGCAGTCCAATGCGCAATGGATAAGATAATTGACGGGTTCTGCTTCAGCCACGTCTGCCTGCCATCGTTCAATGGTATTGGAAAACGCTAATTAATGACAATGAAGAACGGGTAAGAAGAGGAGCGAATGCTGCTGATCCCAACCGCGGCCATGAGAAAGTCGGTTTGCAGGTAAATTTGACGAAGACTGTTTTCCTGAGGAACGGTCTGCTGACGCGCAGTGCTCGCCTGGCGGAGCGGTCGTCTCTGAGTGCTCTTAGGAGGGTCTGGGTAAGGAAGTAAATGTTAAAAAAGGCTTGTGTTAGAGAAGAGCAGGGGAGGGGTCTGGGGCCACTAAAGTGTATTCAAGAAGTAGCGAAGAAAAACGTCTGGCCCACTTCAACGACTCCGCGTTTGTTCCTGCCGCAACCTGATCCTTACAGACCTGAACTCTGAACATGTGTTCAGTCTCCTTCAACCCGTCATCGAAGAAACGATGCTCGGATATCCCGCCACACGCTATTGAAAGAGAGAATCCGGGGATCCGCACATCGTTCACCAGCAGCAAGGTTTGTTCAATTACGTGAGATGTTCGTAGGCGTCCAGTGAAGCACATCACGCTCCTCAAGCATAGAGAACCAAATGGGCAGTTTTAGTAGATTCAGCGGCAAATGGAAACTGCTTACTGGCGCCCACTGGCGCGACTCGACGGCCAACGGGAACAATGTGATGCAGCTTTGAAATTGCAAGTGAAGTAACGGTGTAGTGCAAAAGAAGCACGAGCAACGACAATACGACCCAGCAGAATACTTCCTAGTTATGTATGTAGTCATACTGCAGCACATATACCTCAAACAAAATGGATCCCGCGCACATGATGCTATTGGCCGCAACGTGGGTCTCTCGCACCACATACTCAAGGCAAGGAATTTCGCTGACGTGGTATTTTGATTCAAAGATACTAAGTGAACGAAATACCACTGAAATTAAAATGCTGAAAGTGAGAAAAAAGTTCCTGGGAATGATCAAAAAGTCCATTTCCGACACAATTTTGTTCCTTTTTAGTAAAAAATTTCTCGCGCAACTCCGAAACTTCAATTTCAAAATAGGTCAGACGGTACAACGAATTGACGATGCTTGACGCCCTCCATGAGATTGGTGGGGGGGGGTGGGGGGAGAAGGGCAGAAGGTGCGTACGATGACAAATTCGACCGATGATTCGAAGACCCGCACTCCGCAACAACTGTGTTCAGACGCAGAAGGGGTGCAGACCCGGCAAATTTGCGCTTCGCTCTTTTTAAACGATCGAGAGGGTTCACCTTCGAAGAAGCCACAAGGCTTTCGAGTTTCGCCCATACGATTGTAGAGGAAATAGGCCTCTGCTCTTTCCATTTCTTATCAAATTTTCCATCAAAGACACAGTCCACTCTGGTCGTATAGGCGGAATCCAGCCTACTCTTGAGCTTTCCCATTGGCTCGCTCCTCAGAAAGACCAGTGTGAGAGGTGCAATGGTAGGCTACGTCTATCCAATCAGCGTGGACTGTGCTTCTAAGATTCTATAGGAATTACTGATGTCTGATCGCCACACATGACTTCCAGTGCGAGTTGCTGTGCTACTTCCAGATCCCATGACAGACCAAGCATCGAATAGTGACTCTGTAAAATTACAACTTCACATGAAATTGTACGTCAGAAATTCATTGACTGATTACAGGCTTTGAAAATCGACATTATTATTACATAGAGAAATAAATTAAATACTGAATGAAATTTCATATCAGATGCGAAAATACGACAGATTATATTTGTGGAGCACAGGGAACAATTTGTAACAGATTAGAATAAAGCGAGTCAAGAGTAGTGATAGCCTAGATGCA